AGAAATCAAAAATTTAACTAAAAACAAAACACAAAATACCAGAACAGAAATCAGATTTTGACAAAAGTAGAGATGTTCTGCTTAGTATAAATATAAATATATACACATACTTCAGAGGAGGTTTTTTTTCCTCCCTTTCAAAGCCATTGAAATTTCTTGTCAGTTGATTTTGTATAAGAGATAAAAGATTATTGTCAATGCTGCTAATCAAAGGGGGACAAGTCCTTCAAGCACTAAATTTTAAAGCATGCAGCTCATGAGTGGGCATGGGGAACACTGGGTGGTGGTGGAAGTCACTAGCAAACTTGACAAACTTGGTGTCAAGTTTGTGGTGGTTTGAAAGAAAATGGACCCCAAAGGGAGTGGCACTATTAGGAGGTGTGGTCTTGTTGGAGGAAGTGTGTCACTGTGGGGGTGGGCTCTGAGGTCTCATATACACTCAAGCCACACTCAGAGTGACAGACCACTTCCTGTTGCCTGCCTATTGAGATGTAGGACTCTCAGCTCAAGCATGATGTCTGCCTGCATGCTACCATGTAGCACCATGATGATAATGGACTAAGCCTGTGAAAATGTAAGCCGCCCAATTAAATGTTTTTTTTTCTTTAATAGGAGTTGCTGCGGTCATGATGTCTCTTCACAACAATAGAAACCCTAAGACAAAGTGATGCCTTGCTCCTAGCTACTCCCTATTTATACCCCTATCAGACCGTGTCTTGTCCTAAGTGACTCCATTTCATAAGAGCAGCTGGCTCCAGAGTGAAGTATTGATGCAGAGGTAGAAGGACTTGTGTAAGTTAACAGCCACTGTCTATCTAGTGCAAACCACGAGGTACAAACTGATAAGATATTTACACAAATAAAAGAGCACCAACTTTGAACCAACCAGATTAAATCAAGAACACACGGGTATATGAAAACCATATGGGGGGGGGCTGGCCAGTGACTTTGCTGAACGCATTAGGGCCAGTCAGCATTCAACTCCCTCAGCTGGACCTTATAAAACGAAGCACAGATAATACTGGTTACATTAGCGCCCACCAGCCATCATCAGACCATCTGGTACACAAGTCATTGGCTCAACGAGGGACAAACTTCCTGATTTTGTCTTTGGGGCTTCAGTTGAGCAGACACCCTTCCCTAGCTGACTGAAGACTACATGAATTGTGGTTGGTGTAGATCCAGTAAGCCTGGAGTCAGCTCTCTGATTGGTCTTCTGTTACTTAGTCAACCAACCACAGTGACCCTCAGCTTGTGTTCAAGTAAACCCTTTGAACCCTACAGCAGTGTTTTGTTTTTACAGCCCCACCTAGTAGCTGTGGCTAGTGTGGAACTCACTATGTAGACCAGGTTGGCCTCGAACTTAGAAGACTCTTCTACCTGATCAAAGATGTGTGCCACCGTGCCTGCCCCATCCCAAAACAGTTTTAATTAACCATTTTAGCCATTCTGTGACCTATATACTATTGTGTGGAATATGTGTGATCTCAGAGTTAATACTAGTAATTAGGATTAGAATAAAAGAATCCATTATTGCTAGTAGCCATAGATACTATGTGAAATCAGTTCAAGTCAACAAAATTGATGCACCTTTTGAATTTTTTGTTGTTCTGACATTGTGGAATGACAAACATGCTCATTTGTGTTTCTGAGATTGCTCAGTCAGGACACAAGTCATCCATCAGTGACAGTTAATCTTGCTTGGCACTCAATTGGGTCTAGGATTAACTAAGGCACATACATCTGGGAAGGTCTGGGGGGTCTGGGAGGATCTGAGAGGTGTTTATAGAGATAATTAAAGGTGACCAGAGTAAAGAGGTCAGAGAGAAAGCAGGACTTTTCATTGCCCGTCTTTGTTTCCTGCTTGTGTACACATCCACTGTGTTGCTGCATCCTTCGTTGCCATGGGAACCCAGTTTCTTAGGCTTTACACTGTGGGCTAAAGATTGGGGACTTTAGTGCCAGATTGTGACAGAGGTATCCATATACTGAGTGGCTACTGTGTCTCAGCCTCTCCAGCATATAGACCAATCTAATAAATATAATATTTATAATAAGTATAATCCAATCTAATAAATCCCTGCATGTAGTATGTACTCGTTCTATAAATTCTATCCTTCTAGAGAAGCCTGACTAATACAATATCCAAATATGTTTTAAGTGAACTAAACAGAAGCATACAAAATATTAACTAAGTGGTTTGAATGTAGGTGAAATAATTTTTTCTGACTCAACCATGTGACTTATATTTATATTTAACACCCACATAATTCCATCAGGTGAGCAGCCAATTCAATAGAAAAGAAGTGAAACAGGCTTACTTCTTAGACTACATTATTATAACTTTTAGTTTTAGCTACCTTGCACAAAATTTGCATTTTAGTGACGAGAAATTAGCATCCACCATAGAGTAACTGGCAAATTATTAACTACAAAAAAAAGTTACAAAAACAGAGCATGAAATAAAACAGATGCCCAGTGGCAGTATGTCTGAATGGAATAGTCTTGATTTTCCTTTTAACTCATGGCCTTGTGGGCTGTGATTTGGGGTGTGGCTGACTCATTATTTCTTACTTGTCATTGCTTCAACCAAGTGCTATTGTTGGAAATCTTCCCTCCCTCTAGCTCTTTACTGATGCCCCAAAGAAACATTTTTGGTGACAAAACTGAAAAGTCAAATAGTAGTGAAAGCTTGCTTTACTTTTTCTTGAGCAAAAGGACACAGCTGTCACCTTGGAGCTCAATTTACATTAATTTTTTTTTGAAATTTCACGTGTTTGTGTATGAGTCTATCGGTACAACTTGCAGAAGTTGTTTCTTTCTTTTCACTAAGTGGGTCCCTGGGGTTGAACTCAGGTTGTTAGCCTTGATAACAATGCCCTTACCTGTTGGGTCATCTTGTCAACCTCCAATCTAAGTAGACACTCCTTAGAAGCATTCGGCCATCCTCCAAAGGATTCTGGATCTTTTTCTATGTACCAGGTATATGCAAACATTGGGACTTGTGGCTCATGCTACAGAAGGATGGGGATGGGGATTGAAGTCTCGTGGGATGAGAGAGACAAGCAAGCTAGTAACGCACGCGGAAGAATGTAAGTGTATGTACAACGCTGGAAAGATGGAAGAGGCGATGGGGAAGACAGGCAACTCCACACACAAGGCCTTAGCATCCTGGAGTGTCTATAATGAAGCAATCAAACAAAAAAATGGCTTCAGGCCTATACTAAAAGGCTTTTTTTTAAAACCTCATCCTGAAGGCGGTGTGTTATCAGAAAAGCCACTTCCTGGAGACCGCTGACAGACTTTCATGGTGAAGGACCTGATGTGGTGTGCAGGTGTCTCGAGCAGTACTATTGCCCCTAATACCTTCCCTATGGTATTTTGTTTCTTTGGTTTTTCCATAATGTATTTTGCTCTCTACCTTAGACCTATAACTTGAGATAACTTTTTGGGGCTTGGGGGCAATCATTGTCAGAAGTTGTTGTTCCCAAAGAGCAAGTAAATGCACCAGCAGCCCTGGGGACAATTATCACATTAAATGCATTCAGCTCTGATACCACTGACATGCAGGACTTGGCCTTCTGTCTAACAGCTACAAGTTGGAGTTTGGTTTTTTTTTTTCTTTCTGACATTACAAGGGGCAAGATGAGGCTCTCTCTGTTGGTGCCTATCCAAGACCTTCACTGAATGGCTGTGGAGGTGATATTGCAGAATACCACAGTCACTGAGGGGGCATATTCTAACACTAACATTATTGGTTATACAAAGACAGGGTTCCTTTTAAAAAGAAACATCTATGCCACATCCAGACTCTCTAAGAATAACTATCTGTGAAGAATGTATGACACGTAATCCATCAGAGTGACATTCAGAAATGCTCACAAACACTCGCTACCCTGGCATGGGGAAGCCAGTGGCTGCTTTAAAGAAGGGAGTCTTCTTATTTGTTTGGGTAGTTTTTGTTTTGTTTTGTTTTTCTGAAACTGGGTTTCTCTGGGTCACACTGACTTCCTGGAACTCACTCTGTAGACCCTACTGGCCTCGAACTCACAGAGCTCTACCTGCCTTTGCCTCCGGAGTGCTGGGATGAGAGGCATGGGTCACTACCGCCAGGCAGAGGAGGGAGCCTTAATGGAGGAATTGCCCAGATCAGATCAGCCTGTGGACATGCCTAGAGGGGATTATCTTAAGTGTTCATTGATAGGGAGAGCCCAGCCCATAGTGGGCGGCATCATTCCCTGGGCAGTAGTCCTAGGCTGTATAAGAAAGCTAGCTAAGCACGAAAGAGAGGTAATGTGTCAGCAATAGTGTTTCCCCCACGTTTTCAGATTCGAGTTCTCGTGCTGACTTCCCTCAGTGTTGTAAGGTGACATAAACCCATTCCTCCTCTAAGGTGTTTTTGGTCATGGTGTTTTATCACAGCAACTGAGATGAAACTGAAACAATCAGTAAAAGTACAAGATAAACTTAGAATACCTTGTCGAGATAGATAGAACATCAGGGAGCTCCCAAAGTGTGATGGAGATAAATCAGGAGGACACAGAAGCCAACTTGAGTGATATGCTTTCACTAGCCAAATCTGGAATGGTTCAAACAGTAAAATATATCATGGGGGCTGGAGAGATGGTTCAGTGGTCAAGAACACTTGATGCTCTTGCAGAGGACCCAGGTTCTGTTCCCAACACCCACTTGTCTGCTCACAGCCTTCCAGGGGATCTAATGCCATCTTCAAGCCTCTTCAGGCACTGTATAAAACATACATACATACAGGCAAACACTCATAGACATTTAGAAATAAATCTTATATATATATACATATATATATGTAGCCGCAAAAAGTATAAATCCGTCCAATAAATTTGGAATCTATGAGTCCATAGTAAGAAGGTAGATAGATTATTGATATGTAGACAGATGATAGTTAGACAGATAGCTGCTCAACCTTACAATAGCATGCCAATCAATGTAGATAAACTATAGGATTAGAAAGTTACCATTTAGTGCTCACTTTGGCATTACATATGCTAAAATTGAAATGATACGGAGAAAATTAGGTTGGTCCCTGTGAAATTATCATGCAAATTTGTGAAGCATTCCATATTAAAAAAGAGAGAGAGGGGCTGGAGAGATGGCTCAGAGGTTAAGAGCACTGACTGCTCTTCCAGAGGTCTCGAGTTCAATTCCCAGGAACCACATGGTGGCTGACAACCATCTACAATTCAATCTGGTGTATATGTAATAAATAAATAAATAAAATCTTTAAAAAAAAAAGAGAGAGAGATAGAGACGGGCGTTGGTGGCGCACGCCTTTAATCCCAGCACTTGGGAGGCAGAGGCAGGCGGATCTCTGTGAGTTCGAGACCAGCCTGGTCTACAAGAGCTAGTTCCAGGACAGCCTCCAAAGCCACAGAAAAACCCTGTCTCGAAAAAAACAAAAAAAAAAAAAAAAAAAAAAAAAAAAAGAGAGAGAGAGAGAAAGAAAATCACCATTTAGTAGCCTTCATGGTAATAAATACAGCAAGAGACCTACGTGGATCCTAAATCTATTGACAAATTTGCATGGTCTCAAGTCCTTATTTAAAAATGAAAAGAAAATAAGAAAAAACCTTACATAAAACCTGAGCCAGGCAATCAATACTAACATTATTGTCCAGCTACTGAGTAGACACAGCCAAATTTGGAGACCACAGCACAGCACCACCACCACCACCACCCACAAATAGCACAGAAATCATAGAAGAAATGAAACTATAGAAACCATAAGCAGTTCCTGGAGAAACACATGGTTTGCCAAGAATCAGAAGGAAGGTTCCGGAAGCTGTAGGCCAAGTGCCAAGGCTGTGGCACATGCCGTTACTATCCAGACCCTGGTAAATCCCAGGGAAGTCAAAATCAACGTCGCCTCAGCCAGGCGGTGGTGGCGCACGCCTTTAATCCCAGGCAGAGGCAGGCGGATCTCTGTGAGTTCGAGGCTGGGCTGGACCGACAGCCTCCAAAACAATACAGAGAAACCCTGTCTCTGAAAAAAAAAATCAACGTCGCCTCAGCCACAGGTTTAATGAACTTGTCCACGTTGCCCATCCCAAACTGCAGAAGCACATTGCATCCCCAATGCATGGGTGCCTACATCACTAGTGTCTCCGCTCTGCTGGCCAGTGCCAAGGCCAAGAATCCTGGTCCCCCTGAAGACTCTGGGACAGATGTCTTCACCAATCCTTGTGAGGACAGAAAGATCGCTGTCTTCTGTCTGGGCTGCTATCTACACAGAGTTGACATCCCTAAGTGCTGTTGGTGTAGATAAATCTGAACCAGGACCTGTCAAGAACAGTAAATAGTATCGATAACGAGACATATGGGATCATGTTCCCTCTGATAAGCTGCAATAAGAACATGAACCATTTCTGTGAAATCTCTACCTAAACACTTAGCTTACAACGAGGAAACACCAGACAAGTCCAAAGTGATGAAAGATGATGAGTGTCTTCACCCTCAAAGACGCTAGTGCTCTGAGAAACGAGAGACTGAGGAGCAGAGCAGGCTGAGTTCAGTGGGGTGCCAGGGCTCTGCTGGCTCTGCTGACCAGTCGGACCCGTTGGTTTGGGGATCGTGCTTCACGTGCAGAGAACATGCCATAAAGAACGAAACCCTGGAGGAGAGCTGTGGACCTCACACTGGAGTCTGCAGAGTCACCTGAGAGAGTGTAGCAAGACGACAGAGCAGTGCTTCTCTTATCTGTACACCGGGAAGTGTCACCTGTAACCCCCCAATGGATGACACACAGGGCGCGTGAGCCACTGAGCTAAGTATTCCATAACTTCCCTCCCGGGAGTCCCTGGCTCTCCCTCTGGTCCTCCCTGATCACACTCCCCTTGAGTTCCCTCCTGGGTTCCTGTTGCTGGAACCACCGTGATTCACAAAGGCCATGGCGGCGGTGCTGTCAGTTCCTTGATGCTCACGGGACGAGGTTCTGCCCCTGCACGGTGACATTCCTCAGGTAGCTCCTTGTGCCTTTTCCTTCATCTCATTTTACTCTCCTGTCTGCTCGCTCTCCACTCCAGCCACTCCCCAGAGGCCTGGCTCTCCTCCCACGTGATTCTCTTTTCCTCTTGTTTCTCTGGAGAGAAAAGCTCAGGTCACCTTCTTGTTGTGGGGTCTTTCTCACTTCTCGAAGTCACACTGTCTCTTGGGCACGGAGTCCACCATTTCCCATTGCCACTTTCGACGCCCTTAATTTCTATAATATGACCCCCTAGCAATCATTTCACAGTGACCAGAAGGCAGCCAGAGGCAGGGGTCACATTCTGCTCGGCCCACAAACCCAGCACACAGGGTTGCGTCTGCTGTGGCTGGCCCTCCATTGCTTCTATCAGTTAACCTAATGGCATTCTGGGGTAATAGCAGCAAGTATTCTATTTACAGTTTATTTGCCAGTCCCCTTTTGGGTCATTTGCTAAATGCATGCATGACTCAAGGTGAGAGGAGGAGCCCAGGGAATCCCTTCCCTCCAGTGAGATGACATCTTTTATGGCACAGGTCTGAGGGACAGGAAGTCCACAGGTGGGAGGGCCTTCTAGCTCCAGTAAACTTTGTTCACTGAAGCTACTGTGTGAGTGAGGTACAAGCAGTTCTCTCTCTCTTAGGTGGGGCTCCGCAGGAGGGTGAGGCGGGTGGGAGGCTCTCTGGGAAGGAACCAGGCCAGGGACAACCACTCACAGGGAGTGGGGCTCTGTGCTCAGCATGGAAGAGTAAAGGTTACTCGTGTTTGTCTGCCTCTCACCTGGGAAACCTCCGTATCTGGCCAGTTCCTGACCGATCAGATAACAAACAAGAGCAGGAGACAGAGAGCCAGTACAGGGCTTCAAATGCTTGCTACCCAAACACCGGGACCTGAGTCCCGTCCCTCCCCCCTCCAGCCCACGTAAACAGCCATACATGATGGTGCGCGCCCATAACCCCAGTGCTGGGGAGACAGAGACAGGAAGAGTCTTGGGGTTCACCCGTCAGCCAGCCCAACCAAATCAACCAGCCCCACGTTCCAGTGAGAGTCTGTCTCAAAAACACAAGGTGGATTAAGGCCTCAACCCTACACAAAGGACTACTAAGGAATGCTAAGAGTGGGAGAGATCATCTTTCCCAGGCAAGAGCTCACTGAATGATTACCCAATACCAGGTGGTCAGCCCTGAAAACATACACACAAATAGCATTATTCAGACTGAGCAAGTTGCATTTTTACACACACACACACACCGCCACCAACAGCAACAATTAACAACAACAACAACAACAAAAAGAGGCCATGAATTTGAGGGACAGCAAGAAGGGATACACTGAAATATTTGGAGAGAAGAAAGAGAAAGGGAAATTGTGTAATTGCATTATAATCTTAAAAAATAAAATAGTTACAGCAGGGAGTGGTGGTGCACACCATTAATCCCAGCACTCAGGAGGCAGAGGTCGGTGGGTCTCTGTGAGTTTGTGGGCAGCCTGGTCTACATAATGAGTTCCATGGTAGCCAGGACTATGTAGAGAGACCCTGTCTCAAAAACCCAATAATAGTAATAATAAAATAATAATTTAAATGTAAAAAATTTTTAAAGTTGATAAAATATAGCTTGTACTTTGGTTTTTAAGACCACCAAAAATGTAAAACCTATTAAGTATTATCTAATATGTGTTTGTTTTTCAGGATCAAAATAAATGTCATCAATATAAAAAAAAGGCGGATGGCTCCTGAGGCAGGACATGGCAGGTTGACCTCTAACCCTACATACACACACACAACAGACACAAGTAAAGAATAAAAGAAGGGAGATACTTTGTACATTACCATCCATCCAACAGACTCAAGTTTCATGAACGAATACATTTAAAAAATATAGCATTGCAGTTGACCGAAAGAGCGTTCGCTCTGCCCTGCTAGACAGGAAGAAAAATGGGAGGATGAAAACCTGCCAGCGAGGTGAGGGAATAAATCACCTCTGTTTAGATTCCTGTCATGCCTTCGAGAGCCTGGCTGCCCCTCCCCAGCAGGGCCCAGCCGGTGCCTGATACCTTCTGGGCTGGTTATCTGTCAAAGGGAATGTTTGGAAAATGTGTCTGTCCAGCCTCTGTTGCCAGCCCCTCGGCACCCCTGTTCACGATGCTCTTGCTGTCTTGCAGGGGCCTAGGCTGGGAAAAGAGACATTACATAACCCAACGCTAAAGAGTCACTACCCTGAGCGGGGCAGCCTCTGCTTACAGCTCTCCTCCCGTGTTTCGAGATGGAGACAGCCCAATACCCTGGGCAGAACGGCAGGGCAATTTAGATTGCCTTGGTGGCATTTCATTGTTGTTGTTGCTGGATGGGTTGCTTCATTGTTTTCAAGGTAGGGTCTTGTTCAGCTCAGGCTGGTCTCAACTTAGTACCTCGGACAGCCACGAACTCCTGATCCTCCTGCCTCTGTTTCTCCTGGGCTGGAACTGCAGACACGTCCTGCCACACTCAGCTTAGAGGGTTTGAAGATAACTTTGCACCCCATATGCTCATCTCAAGTCCCCCGTTCTGAAGTGAGTTCTGCCTAGCGTCGAGGCAGCTGGGGTTTCCCTTGGCCTCAGGGGACAAAGCTGACATACTCATTCACCCCAGAGTCACGGCTGCCCTTCACCCTAAGAACCACAGGCGGGGAGAGGACAGCAGGTGACTCAATGGAAAGTCATCAGTTGTGGAGCAGGCTGACCTAGAGCTCGAAAGCCAACAGGAGACACGCCCCTCCCCTGCTTCTAATAACAAGAGGACAACAGTCCTCAACAAGGCTTCTTCTTATTGCTCATGTGCTCTGCCGGCTCTATGGTAAGCACATTGTTATGTCACTTGGTTTGGTCCTCACGGCAATCCTTGGGGGCTGGGGATTGTTACCCTCATATTTTCAGAGAAGACTGAATGTGAGTGAGCCTACCTAGTCTCTCAGGTAGCAAATGGCAAATCTACTCGCCAAGCTTTGTTTAGCTTTCTTACCCCCCACCCCCAAGGGCCTTGAGTCATTTCACCCTTGGCTTGGACTAAACAGTGGTATGATGAGGACTCATCAGGTCACATATAGGGTAATCTGGGTATCTTTAGCACCT